CATCTATATAATATTATAGATATAAATAAATAAATAAATAAATAAATATATTAATATATGACTAACGAAGTACTTTGAAGAGGTTTTTAAGGCCTCTCATACATCATGCATAGCTGCATCGATAGACAGATATAATTACAGATATAAAAACGTAAGCATTTGTAGACAATTAAAGATATAAATAAATAAATAAATAAACTAATAAAGACTAACGAGGCAGCTTAAAAGGAGGCTTTTCAAAGCCTCGCTTCCACTGAAGATATCTTCGCTTCTGAGACCAGTGCTGAGGCACGGAGACGACGTTCCTAAGGCCTTTCAAGAAGGCTAGGAAGAAGGGATCGGATCCCGTCGTATCCCAGACTTCGATCCTATCGGGTCGGGCTGTATGCTGCTTTAAGCTGCACACTGTGGGGCGTTGCATGCGACGCAGCTGACCTCGAGGAACCTTTGCTCCGCCTCCTGCTGTACCCTTCTTGCTGCTGCTGCTGCTGCTGCTGCTGCTGCCTGCTGCTTCCTCGTCTGAGTCTTCTTCTTCTAAACCCATTACTTCTCCGCGACCGCATAAATCTTCTTCTTCTTCTTCTTCGTCTTCTTCTTCCTAAATACACAAAAATATATAATTAAAGATATATATATATATATATTTATATATGCATCTAGATATAGATATATATATATATATATATATATATTATATTTTACTCTATACACCAAGTTAAAAAAAAGATAAATCGATTACGAACAAAATATTCAAGTAAACGCACAAAACCAGCACATGCAGATGCTGCCGATTGTGCTGCTGCTGCTGCTGCTGCTGTTGTTGCCGTTGCTACTGCTGCTGCTGCTGCTGCTGCTCCTGTTGTTGCTGCTTCAGCTCTCCCCTCAATACTATTATTATTATTGTTGCTGCTTCAGCAGCAGCAGCAACAACAATGCAGCAGAAAGAACAACTACAGCAACGAGAACCACAACACTTGCTGCTGCTGCTGCTGCTGCTGCTGCTGCTGCTGCTGCTGCTGCTGCTGCTGCTGCTGCTGTTCGTCTTTACCTGTTCTTCCGGCCTAAGATTTGCGCCGAATTTCTCAAAGACATCATTAAATGATTCTGCTAATTGCGCGACAAGTCCGTCTGCTCCTTCTGCTTCTTTTGGGGGTAAGAAAATAACTTCAATATCCTCTTGCTGCTGCTGCTGCTGCTTGTCTGCTGCTGCTGCTCCGTCTTGCAAGAGGTCTTCCTGGTCGCTGTCTGCTTCTGCTTCTTCTTCATCTTCTTTGTCTTCTTCTTCTTCACTCTCTGTCTCTGCCTCTTCTGCTGTAACTCCTAACAAAGCCTCGAGCTTCTTTTTAAGTTTTTTATTGCGACCCACTGGGAGCAGCAGGTCGCGCTGTTTGCTGCGAAGAGGAACAGCAGCAAGAAGCTCCTCCTTAGTTAGCTCAGCTGATCCCCCCTGCTGCTGCTGCTGCTCCTGCTGCTCGTCCTGCTGCTGCTGCTGCTGCTGACGCTTCTGCTGCTTCTGACGCTTCCGCCGCAGCAGCTTCACTACTCGCTTCGCCTTGGCCCCGTTCTTCTTCCACAGGTCGTGCAGCATACTCTTTCCATTGGGTACTGCTGCTGTTGCTGCTGCTGCTGCTGCTCCTCCAGCTGCTGCTGTTGTTGCTGCTGCTGCTGCTGCCCCTGCTGCTGCCTCTCCATTCCCCTCACCCCCCTCGCTGGGAGACGACCCGCCGACGGTGGCGGCGAGAGGTGGCGCCATCTGTCTGTTGCGGTGTACGTACACTTGCTGCTGCAGCAATTGCTGCTGCTGCTGCTGCTGCTGCTGCTGCTGCAGCTGCTGGTCGAGTGAGGGGACTGCAGCGGGCCGCTGCAGCTGCTATCACCTTTATAGGGTTTTGCTGCCTCTCTGTTTAATTTAAAAACCAAGTAAACCCCAACAGCACAAATTCTGCTAAGCAGCGCGCTGCTTGCTGCTGCTGCTGCTGCTGCTCCGGGGGCGGCGGCTGCTCCCGCCCGGCTGCTGCTGCTGCTGTTGCTGCATGCGCTCCTGCTGTTGCACGGGCTGGTGAATATACCCCGTATCTCCCCTCTATTTGTATATTATTTTTAAAATATTCATTTAAAAAGTTTATCTAAGCTTTAAAGGCTTCTTGACAACGTGATATTACGCAACTGCAGCAGCAGCAGTGGCAGCAGCAGCAGCTACTGCTGCTGTTGCTGCTGCTGCTGCTGCTGTAGTGGCTAAGGATGAGCAGCGCTCAGAGCAGCAGCAGCAACAGATGGGTGCAGGGCCCGTTCGGTCTTGAACCATAAGAAGAATATGCGTGAAATAAAAATAGAAGTTAATTAAAAATATAAATAGAAAGAGAGACGATCTATTAAAGATGCGTGAGGGTGGGGGGGGCAGGAGCGTCTACTTTGTTGTCTCTGTGCTGCTGCAGCACAAAGATTGAGGTGTACGTACACCTCAACCCCTGTGGCTGGGGAACCGCATCTGTGGGGTAAAGGGGAGACTCCTATCCTGAGTCGATGGAGACCCGTGTCTTACTCCTTTTGCTGCTGCAGCATTGTTAGTGCTGCGAGCCTCCAGGCCCCTGCATCATTAAAGCTGCAGCAGCAACTCTAAGTTCAGAGCTGCTGCTGCTGCGCCTGCAGCAGCAGCATTGGTAAGGGGCCTCTGCTGCTGCTTCCTAGGGCCCCAGGGCCTCCTATATAACCCTGTCTGCTTAGGAGACAGCAGCAGCAGCTAAATTTCGAGCTGCTGCTGCAGCTCCAGCAGCAGCATTTGCGAGAAGCCTTTTCTGCTGCTTCTTCTTGCCCCAGGGTGTACACCTCCCTGTCCCCTCAGGAGACACCTGCGCAGCACTTAAAGCGTTAATCGCTGGAGCTCTTGATGGAAGTTGTAACGAGAGTCTCTGCACTTAGCTGGGGATCGCCCTGAGCTGGAGGAGACTAAAAATATAGATTAATGCATATTTTATCTCCCCTATGACCTCTATCCTTCCCGGGTTCAGCGGCACAAAGGCCTGATTGAGGGTGCTTCAGAGAGGAGGAGTTCTCCTATGCATTGCAATATATTTTGTTTTAACTCATGCTGAAAGACACAAACGCATGCGAGCATACCCGCATTCATCCTTGGTGAATGAAGGCAAACTCTGTATTCACAAATGTTCATGAACCAACTAATAATGATGTCTATGCTGCATCTTCTGTCCGCCCTCCACCCCTCCCTCCCTCTCTTCTGTAAAATCGCAAAGCCTCGCACCTGCTTGGATTGAAGCACTAGTGATTGATGTGCTGAGAACCAGGGATAAATGTGCGAGAGGAGTATGAATTCCTAACATAGAAAAGGAGAGAAACAGAGACAAGCGAAGAAGGCGAGCGTTATCTGCAACTAGCAACTACTGGCCATTAATATAATCTTGAAGAAACGCGAAATTGATTGGAAGTAGATGCTCCTCTAAGGGTTGCTTATGTCTTTGTGCTCTAAGTCTTTCTCTTACTGCTTCTTAGTTCTTGAGTTTCAAAGAAGATTATCTCTACACTCTTAGGTTTTGTTTATACGGGAAGCAAAGCTGTTCACGCAAAATATGAAAAGGCGGAACTCGAAGCAACAAAGTCATTGCTTCTGCATTAAAGAGGAAAAGATATGCTAGTCGAGAAGCCGAAACATTTAAAAAAAAGAATTCAACATGAAGCAGTCCTCACCCCCTTCTCAGAGTGCCCTGATCAAAACACAATTCCCTGCAACTCTTAATGCAAGACGACTCTAAATGCAAATGCAAGAATGTTCAAACGTAACACTGATGCATGCAATATAACACAGTAATCAACTGTTACACACTTGTTTACTTGGCTTTACGTGGTATCCAACCAAGTGAGCCCAAGTTAGTTATAATATATATATATATATATATTATATGATATGCTATGATATCATATAATATAATATCATATATAATATCATGATATGATATGATACGAATTTGTTATAATACAACTTCAGAGATATCATGCTAGAGCTCAGCCGGCCCAGGACTACTACCAGACATCGCACGAAATGCACTCGTTAGTCTTCGTTCTGTCAGTAATTGAAGAAAGTTTTTATTTTAGTGTTGCATGCAAAACAGTGAAGACATCACACTGCATGAAACTAAGATGGAGATAGCACACCGCCTGTTAGTAAGATGGATGAAGCATCAGCTGATTCTGTTCCTAAGAAGACCTGCACAGTAAAACTCAAAATGTTGCTCTTCCTTGTTCATTAATTTACTGCAGTAGTAGCTTAATAGCACTATTGTTGGGGTGTATATACTGCGAATATAATTGTTGTTCTGTCGTTGTTATGCTAATTGTATCATTAGAGTCATTGAATTTAAATTGCTGCTCTTCTTTATTTATTTCACTAGTAATTTAAAGATGATAGTTTTGTTGGTTATTGTCTCCTAGTAGAATGGAGACAGATAAATACACCCAGGC